CTGTTTTTCTCAGGCTGTGCTTTCTTTTTTCCTTCCTTCCTTTTTTTTTTTTTTTTTTTTTTTTTTGTCTGATAGGTTATCACAGCATGTTGCTTTGTTTTGTTAGCATGTGTGCATGTACGCGCGTGTTTGTGTGTGTGTGTACGCCCACACATAGAGGCTAGAAGAAGCATCTAGTGTCCCATCTGCCATTCTCCACCTGATCCATTGAGGCAGTCTCTCCCAGAACCTTCAGCTCTCATTTTCTTAGGCTGAGGCTGGAACCCAGTGAGCCTCAGTGATCTTCCTGTCTTCCCCAACCCCCAGCCAGAGCTGGCATTGCAGACGTGTGAGATGTTCTGCTTGTTTCCAGGGTGCTGGAACCTAAACCCCAGTCCTCATGATTGTTCCAGCAAGCTCTTAACCACTGAGGACATGGAGGAGGAGTTGAGGAACGTGAAAACAGCCCTGCAATGGGTGTTCCTCCTCTTTTTACCTTCTAAAACATAGCCCTTCATTCCATCTTCAAGCTATGCTTTGATCTTGTAGTTCAGGCTAGCCTGGGACTTGCTGTGTGACTGGGAATGCCCTTGCTCTTTTAGATAGCCTATTGGAACCTCTTCTTCTATTTATACATAAATTTTTTTCTTTATTTTCCAATCACTGATACATGATATTGCCTGTGTGGATATATATCATAGTTTAATTAGTCCTACGTGGCCATGCTTAAGTTCTTAGTCTTTTATTATAAGCCATGATACAGAGTCTTATGAGCAGAGATTTCACAGCCATTTAAGTGCATCACAGAGTATATTATCGGGAGAATTACTGATGTTTGCAGTTTTTATGAATGTTATCAATTGCGCTCCATAGACTGTATCTACTTTTTGCTTTGTTTTGTGGCAGGGTTTTCTCTGTGTATCCCTGTCTGTTCTGGAACTTGTTCTGTGTATCTGCATGCCTCTACTTCCCGAGTGCTGGTATTAAAGGCATGTGCCACCATCACCTGGTTTGTGCCTACTTTTTCTGTAACTGTCTTTCTGTAGCTGGACATCTGACTTCTTTGTATGCACATTTACTGAGGTGCTGAGGGCTAGCCCTTTACCACAGAGCTAGCTATACCATCCATCTCTCTCTTTATAGCTAAAGTTTGCATTCTCCTAGTGAATGTGAGGTTAAGTTTCTTTTCCCAGTTTCTAGAGACATCTCTACCCTCCTGACTGCCTTGTCTCTAGCCCAGCTGTCTGTTGGTTTTCAAGATGATGCTCACTAATGGCTTATGATTATCATTTTTAGTATTGACATATATTGCATCATTGTTTGCCTTTCTGGAATTGGACATTTTATTTGTTTACTTATGAATGTGCATATTTACCAAGGTGCTGAGGACTGAATTTAGAACCTCTTGCATGTTAGGCAAGCACCCTCTCTCAGAGCTATACCTGCACCCACCGATTTCCATTTAGGATGTGGCTCTTGTGCTGCTGAGAAGAGTTATTACAAAGCACTTTCCTACTTAGAGTATTTATTTGGGAGTAAAAACAAATCCTAACATCTATTGTAGCTAGCTCTAAATAGGCCTTGTCTTACCCGGGTCCTTCACCTGTAAACCGAGAGGAGAGAGGATTGCGCTAACCAACTTCCTGTGCTGTGACCTTTTAGCCTTTCCCAGAAGCAGAGTGTGCTAAGCTTCACAGTCCCCACAGCCTGGGTCCTGGAGCATCCCAGAGACACACTGGTGCTGTTTTCCAGCAATCTTGTTCTAGCAGTTTCTTGTTGGAGAGACGAGGCTTCATCTGGTTACAAATTTGCTTTGCAGTTGCCTCCCTGGACAATTTTTAGTCAGAAATGTTCATTTTATATCAAAGATATTCTCTCAGAAGTGTGACCTCTTTAGTGATAGTGGAGAGTTTGGAGGGAGCTGGGTACTAAGAAAATGTTCCTGCTTTAATTTGGTTTAACTCTCGTCAGTAAATCTGCATGTCCATCTTCATGGCTGCCTGAATGCCTCTGTTGGCCTGTCGAGCTTTTCAGACCCACGGGGAAACTGATCTCTGTAAGTCTGTTTCCCCTCAGAACTCAGCACATGAGTTACATATCCCTCCATCAGAGAGCTAAGGACTAATTACAGAGGGGTTTTCTTAGTGGGGTTTCACTTCTCGGCATCCATGGAAACCCCACTAGAGATGATATTAACATACATTGCTTCGTGTAACCAAGTAGTAAGATGAGGCATAGACATAGCATGTGAGCCTAAACAGTGTTTTAAACAAACCTCAAGACCACGAGAGTTCCCAGCTGGCTCTCTGCCTTTGATTTTCGTCAGTTTGTTCCCTGCAGAGCTAGTGACTACATTGCTGTGTGTGTCAGCCCACAGTGGCCACAAGACGGTTGGATCCCCTGGAGCTGGAGTGACAGACAGTTATGAGTTGCCCCATGTGGGTGCTGGAAACCAAACTCCTGTCCTTAAAGAGCAGCAACTGCCTTTAACCACTGATCTGTCTTCCTAGCCCTGAAATATCATTTTTACCATGACCTTTTCCTATTTAAGAACTCAGGGTCTTGTGTGTGTGTGTGTGTGTGTGTGTGTGTGTGTGTGTGTGTGTGTGATAAAAATTCTCAGTTTGGCCCTCAAAGGTCTTTTCAGACGTGTTCTCCCACTTCGTTCCAGTTTGTGTGTTGATGGTATTCCTTGTTTGCCACATTGAAAATCCCCCAGGGTCCTTTGCTTCTGGTTGTCAGTGATGACCACAGTCCCTCTGCGTTATTTTTGCTCATTTTTGTTGCACCAAAAGCAATGCTATTTCTATCTACACCTAAGTATATTTGGGAAATGTTAATTTAAAAATGAATCAGAAAAAAAGATTCAGAAGTTACTAGCTAGGAAGAAAATACAAGGGACAGCCTTTCCATGTTTCATTTTGTTAGCAGCTGTGCAGTAATGGGAGATGACTTCTGGGTTCCAGAGTGAAGCTTAAGTCACAGAAAGTAACTTCGTCCCACTTTGTCTAGAAGGACAGCGAGATTAGCTCCAGTTTGAGAGTGCACCTGGCCTGGGAACAGTGGCAGGGGCAAGATTATCTCAGTCCCAGGGAAAGTCAGCAACGGACCAGTGAGTGAGTCTAACTGGATCCCCAATTGTCAAATACAGTAATGTTGGTAAAATAAAGGTTGTTAATATACATAAATATTAGGAGCAAGGACCTATATAATTTATGCTATGCAGATGTTTTCACGTGAAAATAAAGTAGTTAAGTAGTGCAAGCCCTGTGTCTGGCTATGCGTCTACAAGGGAGAACATTTGAAAGAAATTCAGAACCAAAAGGGGAAGCAGATGTTTGGGAAATATATTGCCCTAGATACATGCACATTAAGTGCAGGGTGAAGAGGGGAGACCCCACATAGCAGGGGCTCCCCTGAGTCTGGATTAGACCCAAACCACACCAAACACCTGTTTTCACAGAGATCCTTTATTAAGTGGGGAAGAAAAGTTAAAGTGGCTGCTTTCTGATTCGGGCAGAAAAACAGCAGCAAATGACCTCGCGGGTGTCATTTTTAGGAAAAGAAAGGAAGACTGTGCTAGGATGACTATGGGATGGGAGATGTGAGGATGAACGTCTGTTGAGAATTGAACAAATACAGATGTAGCTTATGAAAAAATGCATACTCAGAATTAATCAGCCGGACTCAATGAAGCATAGTCAGGAGCCAGTGGGATGAAGGAAGGCCTGCTCTCCCTCAGAAGTCTTCAGGGTGACATTGGCCACAGCTGTGTAAGGTGACATCTGTACAGAACACATGTGTGTTGTCTTCTGAGTTCCTTACTTAGGGGAACTTGATGGTACCTAGGCCCAGTCTTGTTCCTCTGATGGTGCCCTTCTTACAGAATGTGTGGGCTGCTTGCAGTGTCCCTGCTGCCTGGAAGGTGGGTGACATGCACGACTGTTTTGTGGCTTCCAGTGCAGCTTTCTCAGCCTTTAAAACCTTTGTTTTGGTGATAACTTTGGAAGGGATAACTTTGGTACCATCTTGGTGAAGTCTCGGGTGTCTCTGATATAAAACAAAGCATTACAGCAAGTGTTTCTCAACCTGTGGATTGCAATCCCCTTGAAGGTCAAATGATCATTTCACAGGGTTCATTTATCAGATTTACATTACAGTTCATAACAGCAGCACAATTACAGTTATGGAGTAGCAATGAAAATAATTTTATGGTTGGGGGTCACCACAGCATGAGGGACTGTATTAAAGGGCTGCAGCAGTAGGAAGGTTGAGAACCACTGCATTCAATGGTTGCTTTTCCTCTAGAGATACTTTATACATGGGATGAGAAGACTCTGGCAGGGAGGAAACTTTCCGAGGGCTGGCAATGGGAAAGAGTCAGTTCAAACTTCAGTTACGTTAGTGGCAGCACCTCTCAGCGTCAGCGCAGGAAACAGCCGCATCTTCCAGCTGAAACTTGGTGCCATCTAGCTTTAAGCTCTGCTCTCTGGAGTGGATTTGCTGGCGAGTCACACTTACACCTGGGAAATGAGCGATTCACTTGCCTGTCTCTTTTCAGCTCCAGATCTGTTTGCACCGTCTGTCTGTGCTCCTGGAGCTTTGTCCCTTCACAGTCACTGTTCCTTGTCGGGAGAGAGGCGCTGCAGGAGGAAGGGCTGGCTGCCTCTTCTCATTCTCCATGCCCTTCGCCTGCTGCTTCTGTGGCACGGACACCTTAGCGGTGTTCAGTAACTCCGCCTGATCCGTGAAGGGCACCTTACCAACAGATTCTGCTGCCCTGAGCTATTCTCTCCACAGCTCTCTCTGGCAGCTCTATACTTAATAAAGAAATAAATCTTAAAAAAAAAAAAAGTAGTAGTTCTGTTTTCATAAGTTCCTCTGAGGTTAATACATGCAAAACACTTGGAACTGTGTCCGACAGAGCAAGTATTTCTCCAGTGTTTGCTGATGTGCTGTTGTCATCATCATCTCGGCCACCAGCAGCACCTAAAAGTGACATTTCTATCCTTTGTCCACAGGATGTTTCGTCTTAACGCCCTGTCTGCATTGGCAAAACTAGCTGTGGGCTCTCGATGGTACCATGGAGCATCTCAGCCCACACAGACCAAGCGAAGACTGATGATGGTGGCCTTCCTGGGAGCATCCGCAGTGACTGCCAGTTCTGGTCTCTTATGGAAGAAGTGAGTGTTGTTTCTGGCTTGATCGTTTGGTGTTGATGATGTTGACCTATGAAATGGGATTTTTCAGAGAATTGTGCTATCCGGCCAGAGCAGCAGGCAGAAAACAGTGCTTCAATCTCTGCCTGTCCCCCTGCTGAATATGTGTATTGTGGTGTGCGGATGGCTTTAGAAAATGGATGTTTCCTGAAACTTCACAATTTGATGGCCACATGCAACTAGTAATCCTTGGTACTCCTGTGTCACCTGATCATTTTCTTATGAGTTGCTGAACCCTCCCTGGAGGGAAAAGAAAATGTAGTGACCCTCAGGCCTCTCGTTTCTGACTCTGCCATACTTTGTGTTTATCTTCTTCTTCATTCACCCTGTCTTCAAGTTGCTATTATTATGCGTGGCTTTCAAAAACAGTACATTTTAAAATTAATTCTATTGAATAAATATGTAATAAAGTCTACCCATTTTAAAAATATTATTTTAAACATGATTATTAACAAATATATACCGCTGTGTGACCACCCCCAAATCAAGAAATAGAGCATTTCTACCAACCTATATTGTCCTCCCAGGCTTCTTCCACGGTAGTCTCACATTACCCACAATTCCAAGCAACTCCTGAGCTGACTTCTATCACCGCTGCTTTGTATTTCTGAATTTTAACCTAAGGGGGAAACCATAAAGAATGCATTTCTTGGAGGCTGTGTGTTGGGAGAGCCTCAAGGCACAGCCCTGGGGATACAGAGGCCAGAGCACTGAAGGTTTGAGAGCAGCCTGTCTTTAAAGCAAAGAGAGGCAGAGTGAGCCCAGTGCCCGTCTAGATGTCTTCTCTCACAGAGCACAGCTTCTGAAATGCGTGCTTGTGCATCAGGAGTTGGAGTCCTGTACAATCCAGTAGTACTCTTTCACATGGCTGTATATGAAGCTGTGTTTCCTCTTCTCGGGGGCTTCTTTCTAATTGTTTGCTCTCACTGATAAAAACCGCCTTGTCTTTCCTTTGGCTGTAAACACCTAGAAATATATTTGCTTGGAAAATAGAAACTTGATTCAAAACTGCCCAGCCAGGGCGGCTCAGAGGGCGAGGGCTTCTGTCACCAAACAAGATGACCTGAGTTTGATCCCTGGGAGGAGAGAACTGATTCCCAAGAATTGTCCCCTGACCTCCACATAATCACTTAGGTGTGCACCACCCCACACCTAAAACAACAGTAATAAAGTAATAGATAGATAGATAGATAGATAGATAGATAGATAGATAGATAGATATTTGAAGCAAAATAAAACACAAAGAGTTTCCCACTGGGCTCTTGGCCATGCACCACTGTGGTGGCCTGGCCGAGCGGTGATCCTGTTCCCCCTATTCTGTACTGTCCTAGGCAGCACATTTCTAGCCAGGCGCTTCATCGTGCTTTGCCTTCTGCTTCTCCAGCCGCTGACGTAGCCAAGCTTCTTCCCAGAATTATTGTCATTTCTTGGGCCTCCTTTGTGGATTGTCTATTCAAATTATCAGTAAAAATTAAATTACTTTGAAAAGGTTTCTATTTAAGTGTACCATGTGTATATCTGTGTAGGTATATGCACGTGTGTGAGGGTACCTGCAGAGGCCAGAAGAGGGCATTGGAGCCCCTGAAGCCAGGGCTACAGGTGCTTCTGAGCCCCGGACATAAGTGCTGGGACCTGAATTTAATGCATACTCTTAACCCTCAGCCATCTCTCCAAACCCAAATTGGCTTTTTTTTTTTTTTTTGAGTGCTAAAAGTTTTTTCTGGCCACAAGACTTGGGCAGACATGTCCTTACTGTAAATATTGTCACCGAGTGGTGCACTTCTGCACCTTTTTCATAGTGTCTCTCAAAGAACACAAACTTCATTTTGAAAAAGCCCAGTTTGTTGGTATTGTCTTATAGATTAATGGGGTATGTTTCTTATTGAGGAAATTTTTGTTCATCCCCTACTGTATGTTCTCTGTGTTCTGAGTTTTAGAGTGTTAGCTTTAGGGCTGCTCATAGGTTAATTTTTGTGATTGGGGTGAGTCAGGGGATTTGTTTCATTTTATTGTGGTGCTAGGACTTGAACCCAGGGCTTCGTGCATGCTAGGCAAGTGCTGAGTTACTCTCCCAGCCCCGCACTCAGTTAGTCCAGTCTTCAGTTGTTGCGTCAGTTGCCAGGACACGATGCTTTGTTTCCTTAGCTGTGTGTTTGCTTTCAGTACCTGTGCCTTTGCTTTTTAGATGTACTTATTTGCCTGTTTATTTTTATCCTGTGCATATGAGTGTTTGCTTACGTGTATGTGTGCACCACCATGTGGGTGCTGGGAACTTCATCTGGGACCTCTGCAAGAGCAGCCCCCCCCCCCCCCGCTCCTAACCATGGAGCCATCTCTCTAATCCCAAACGAAGGTTTTAATACTACAGAGAGCATATGGTGTTTAAACCTCTTCTTTCGTCTCTCTTTCATTGTGATGCAGTGAGCCAACTTTTACAGTCATTCATTTTTCTTGATTGCACATTTATGTTCTTTATTATCTCTCTCTTGTTCTTTTTCTCATACTTAGTTTAAGTTAGAGTTTTATATCATTACTTGGTATTTCTATTTTTTACCAGTACAGAAATTTAATATCATCTTCCATGCAGTGCTTCAGCTGTGTCTCGCGTTTTTAATATATTGTTTTCACTGAGCTCATATTTCATATTTCTTATTGTTTAGTCTTTATTCTAATTAGTTACTTGGAAGACTATTGTTAATACTTAAAAACATTCAGTGAATTTTTTCCATACTTTTTGTTTGCTTTTTGTTTATCTATGGCTTAATCCACTGTACTGTAAGAAATAATCGAGGGGGTTTTGTTTTTGAAAAGAGTCTCTCTGTAGAGCCCAGTCTGGCTTAGAATTTGTAACCCAGGCTGCCGTCTGGCTCAAACCCACCTACCTTAGCTTCCCCCTTGGTGCTCTGATTATAGGCGTACACCTCCATGCCCCCTCCCATTCACTTGGTTTTATGGTTGATTTTGTCTCTGACAGCAACCTATAAGACAGCTCTCCATTTCATTTTCTTATTTTTCATTGACTTGTATTAACTGTAGGTATCAATGGTGTCCAATGTGCTATTTCCTCGTATGCATGCCCTGTGTGTTGATTTTCATTTGGGGAATGGCTGCAGACATCAAGCCCAAGTCCACCCGCATGCTAGGCAGGTGCCCTGCTCTGCTCTTTCTCTGTTTCTCCCTTTCTCCTTCTACCTGCCCTCTTTGTGCCTGCTCTAAAAGCAGGACTGGCCGGCATTCCCTAAGGGGCTCACTAGCTGGCAGCAGGGTATGCTAAGCCTCTGATGCTGTTGTTTTGAACCAGCAGCACTAGTAGAACTTGATGGCTATGGAAACTTGAGTTCCATATAATTTTTGTGTATCACAGAATATTATTGTTTTATTCCTTTCAATCATTTAAAAATGTAGAAACCATTCTTAGGTAGAGGACTTTACAGAAACAGGTAAGAGGCTGAATTTGACCTATGGGTCATAGTTTGTCAAGCTCTGCTCTGGACTTTATATCAAACATCCTGTGTTTGCCGTAACCTACCTTTAGGTAGTGTTCTGTGTCTCACCATATATGTAAGAACACCATATATGCAATGACACATTTTAATTTTCCTCCTCTAGCTCTTGGTATTATTGCGTTATACATTCCTTGCCTGTATGTGTACACACACCCCAGGGAATTTTATTATTACTAGTTACTTTTGCTTTAAATTTTAAAGAAAGGGGCAGAGCTGTACTCGGCAATGCATGTCTTTAATCCCAGTGCTTGGGAGACAGAGGCAGGTGAATCTCTCTGAGTTTGAGGCAAGCCTGGTGTACAACTCATGTTCCAACACTACCAGAACTTTGTAGAGAAACTGTCTTAAAAAACAAGAAGCAAAAAAGAAAGTGGCAGCCATTGTCTTCAGTTATATACTAACTGGTAGCCCGCCAGCCTCTGTGGATGGCTCTAAGCTCAAGACCACACAGATGGCCCTGCTTAATTAAACTCAGTAGATCCCAAACCAAAACAAACAGATGTGAATGTAGGAAAGGAGCTTCTGGTGGGGGGTTGACAGTAGTGAGAGGGACATAGGAGCACATGTAGGGGTTGGTAAAATATCCTATCTACGATGTATGAGAGTCTCAGAGAGCTGTGCGTGCATGTGTGCGTGTGCATGTGTGTGTGTGCATGCATGTGTGTCAGAGGACAACTTGCTAGAATTAGTTCTCTTCCTCCCACTACATGCGTGCCCATGCGTGCACACACATACACAGAGAGAGAGAGAGAAATTTTATTTCATATTCTTTATTCTGTATCTATTTTTATTGCAGTAAACAGCACATAACATTTTTCATCTTAACCATTTAAAAATATATTTTAGTCATATTAAATATATTCTCATTGTGAAACAGGGCTCCAGAACTTCATTTTGTAAGAATGAAGTGGGACACTTAGGAAAAAGAATGGAATGGTACCCACTGAAAGATAAAAATGAAATATTAAACTCATTGAAGAGTAGGGATGAAATGGCATACCAATTAAAAGGGAAAATGAAATAAGTTATATGCCCACTGAAAAGTAAGAACAAGATGATATTCCTGGAGCTGGAGAGATGGCACAGAAGCTAGGAGCACTGGCTTCTTTTCCAGAGGCCCTGGGCCCAGCTTCAGTCCTCAGTACCTTCCAGCAGCTCTCCAACTCCAGTCCCAGGGGATCCAGTGCCCTCTTCTGACGTCTGCTGGCACTGCACACACACGATGCACAGACACACAGGCAAAAACACTCATACACATAAAAATCAAATCGCAAAGGAAACTAAAGCGCAGTATTCCCACTGAAAAGAAAAAATAAAATGACATACCCATTGAAAAGCAATTTTCAGGTCCATCAACTGTCCATCTTCAGAACTTTTTTTACCTTTACAACCTGAAATTTCACCCATTAAATAATAATGCCACATTCTTCATTCTGCTCTATGACTTAACTAATTTTGGTAACTCATGGAAATGCTGTTATATAGTATTTGTCCCTTCTGTGCCTAACTTATCTCAGCAAGCTGCTGCTCTTGCTTCCTGTGTATATGTAACACGGAAGAGGGGGTTGCTGAGGACTTCCAGGTATTTTAGGAAGTTCTTCATGCAATTCTGTGGACGGGTGTGATTGCTGCTCCGCTAAACTGTGTTTGTGAATATTTGCTACTATGACAGATCTCCATGGTTGATCGAGGCTTCTCTTTTGTATCCCCAGGGCCCATGCGGAGTCTCCGCCATGCGTCAACAACAAAAAGGCTGACGCTGGTGATAAAGGGAAGACTAAAGATGAAGGGGAAGTCTCCTGCCACGAAGAAAGGGCTGCAGATGCCGGGGCCGAGCCTTACCCGGAAGAGAAGAAGAAGAAGCGTTCTGGATTCAGAGACAGAAAAGTATGGAGCAGAGTTTTGCTAGGGAATCAGAACTGTGTCCTAAAGGGGAGTCGTGCTGTCTGGTTCTATCGTCTGTTTCCGATGGGTCACAGGTGCTCCTGAGTCTTCATCTCTTAACTGTTGTAGCCAAAGGTGCCCTGGGAGTGGGAGGTGTTATGTGACAGAGCCATAACAGGCAGACAGACAGACACACACATACACACACACACACACACACACACATGCACGCACGCACACGCACATGCACACGCCACACCCCCGCATGTATGCACACATGAATGAGAGGGGTACTTACAGGAGCAGAAATGATTCACAGACAGCTGTGTCACCCAAGCCCACCCCATGGGAGACTGCTCACAAGTGCTGGGAACCTGGAGCACACTGCGCAGCCTGCAGGCAGCTCCCCAGGTTGGAGGTTTTCCATCCAGGTGCCTCAGCTAGCTAAACCTCTTGCAGGTAGCTCAGCTGGTTTCTGCTTTCCCCCAGGCTACCTGGATGCTTTCTGCTTCTCTGTGGCTTTAGTGGCTGGGCTGAGAGGGACTCCCCACAGTCTCTACTCTTTACTGTTGGGAGGGAGGGGCCTAGTGAATCTGGTCAGTTTCTAGGACTTCCTGAAGCTATTGTTGAGTATTTACCGTCTGTCTTCAGGAGCGTCCTGAGGTGAAGCGAGCAGAACAGTGTTAGGGTCGTCTTCAGGATGAACACACTCTTTGTTCTTTCAGTGCAAACTGTAAACTGATAATTGCTTTCTGCGTCTTCTTGATATTATCCTAGATGCACTGAGTTTGTGATATTTCTGGTTTGCTGTGTCAAACTGTAAAGGGAGAATATGTGTGTGGGGACATACAGTTTCCAGAAAGTCCAGTAGTTGTGGACGGGGTAAACTGTGACCACGGCCTCCGGTGCTGCAGCTTTACCTCTGCTTCAGTTCTGCTCAGATAACGCCTGTGACGTCAGACTGTGGAGCTCGGCAGGCATGCACACAAGCACTTAGGGTGATTTCTCAGACAACTCGCTTGTGAAATTCTCAGTTGCTTCCAGCTGCAGAAAGTAGAAATGCTACATCAGGTCACGTTTCCCACATGCAGTGTCATGTGTGTCTGCAAGAGTCACTCCTTCGAAAAGTACTGAACGTTTTAGATGAAATTATACACATGGTTTCTCACCTTCTAAGTCCATTTGTGCCGGGGTGAATTTGAACAAACGTGGTTTCACAGCTGTCAGGTTCGGGTGAGTTCTTTCAGTGCACAGCTCCCTTACACACTTCCACTTTAGAAAGAGCCAAATGACTCAAATCAACATTTATTAACCGGCTTCCGTTTATAGCCCGTTGTCCCCGAAGCAGGTGACAGTGCCTCCTGCCTCGCAGGGACACTAAAGCTGCCCCCCCCCCCCGTGTGATGTGTTAATTTGGGACTCCTGAAGTTGTGAAGCCTAACTGAGCTACGTCAGGAGCAGTTGAGGAGGGGCCATCTGCCCTCCCTCTGCTGAAGGGGAACCACTGCGCATGTCACTTGCACTTGCGCGTGTCTGGTTTGCTTAGTCACCATTTATTTATTTAAGTAACAGATAAACATGGTGAGAATTCTTCTGTCTACAATTTAATAACATAATCACATTTTATTAATCCCAAATTTATTTTTTAGTGTTTTAGTTTTTTAAGGGCAGAAAATATATACAGTTTATAAAAGCAAAAATTGCAAAGTTTATACAAATCCACCTAATAAGACAAATGAGATCTTTGAAGTAAAACCAGAAACTGTCCTGGACATTTCTTCAGAGAAGACTAGGGCTGTGAGATGGTCAGTGGGCAAAGGCCCTTGCTGCCAAGGCTGGTGACCTGAGCTGGATCTCTGGAACCCAAATCCCAGCGGTGGAAGGGGAGAACTGACTCCCACTATTCATCCTCAGCCCTCCACATGGGCTCTGTGGCATGGCACACACACACACACATGTAAAAATAGAGAATATTGGGAGACAAACTATATATTTCTATTGTAAGCTTATTAAAAAACCATTTCAGGTCAGGCGCTGAGTCGGAAGGCAGAGGCAGGCGGATCTCTGAGTTCAAGGCCAGCCTGGTCACGGTGTGAGTTCCAGAACAACCAGGGTTACACAGAGAAACCCTGACTTGGGGAGAGGGGGATCTCTACTGCTCTTAGGAGTTCAGACGTTTGTACCATTTTTAAAAGAGACCATTTCTCTTAAGCACTCTTGTGCCCCCCATGTGTGAGGGAAGGCATCCTCATTTCTTAAGCACTTGCTGTCTTTCTATAATGAAGTTCTTTCTTACTTGGCAAGATCTCATGTACAGTCTTTATCCATGGCTTCACTTCTGCTGTAGCTATTCACTTATGATGTCTGGATTTTGTTTAAATTATTTTCCTACAGAACAAAATGTATCTGTGGGGTGCTACAGATGGATTAGATTCTTTGTGTGTATTTTATTTTTGTCTCTTTTTTCCAATGGTCCTCCTGCTTCCACCTCCTGAATGCTAGGGTTGTACATATGCCACCATGCCCCAGTACAAATAGATTTTGGTAATAATTAGTTCCTCTCATATTTTGGAATGTATAGAAAACTCAGCAGTATCTTAAAAATCCAGTTTAGCAGAAAACTACCTAGACTTTGCATTTTTCAGTTTGGCAAGGCAAGCCCCGAGCTTTGGGCCAAGGACAGCGCCTCCCTAGGGACAGCGTAGATCGTTGTCTGTCACCGTAATGGGTCCTGCTGGCCATCTGGTTACTTGTCGGTTTGTGGCGTTAGACCCAGTTGTCTTCAGGGTTAACCTCTGTGGAGGTGATGATGGCACATGTCTTGCTGTGGATCACATGTCCTAGCCTGGCCTTCCCTTGAGGCGGCCTTAAGGAAACCCTATCTTAGTCACAAGGCAGGCTCAGTGGCGGCTGAGTGGTGTTCTTCCCCTGAGACAGGAGAGTTTTAACCACACTCAGGACGGCGGCCTCTTAGTGGGGATGTCCCTTTACTGGCAGCTGCCTTCTCAGTCTAGACCAACAGTTGATCTGCTTCCCTTGCTGTGTTTCTATCCTGAACTGTCAGTCATCCTACACAGCTGGCAGTTATTTGACCGTGCGGGGCCTGGAAGGACTGTCAGAGCCAGGAGGCCCTTTGAGCCACTTTGATAGAGAGCTCCTTGTGCCGCAGCTGATGGGATGGAGCGGAGACTGGGTGTTCAGGATTTATCTATTTCCTGGCAGCTGGGCACGGGCTCCCTTACCTTCCTTCTCCACTGTGGGCAGTGGGGAGTGAGCTCGTTCACTTTATCACCTGAAGCCAGTGTTCATCACCAAGGGAATATACTTTTATCTCGCTGTTTCCTGTGATTGGGTTTTATTGACACTTAATTTTAAGTGTCATTCAGTTCCCCCATCTCTGTATTACTTGAATATTGGCAGTTGAGCTCTGAGGCTTGAATTAGAATTGTGCTTGGTTCCCAGAGCCATGCTAGTGGTGGCGGTGTTATTTCCTGTTATCAGTAAACATGGAACATCTGGCTCCTCCACATCCTCCTCTTCTTTCTCTCTTTTTCAATTATTTATTTTTATGTGTATGACTGTATGTGCACCACGAGTGTGTGGAGGCCATAAGAGGTCCCCTGGAACTTGAGTTCTATACACTTGTGAGCTAGCATGTAGCTGGTGCAGACGGGACCCAGGTTCTCTGAGAGCAGCAAGTGCTCGTGACCCTGGTTTTCCCTTTAGCAGCAGTGGTTATAAGTCCTTTCTGGCTACTCATCGGTGAAGTTCACATGGAAAAAACAAATCCCTGAATTTGATCCAGTTATACTCAGCAGTTTTATTGAAGATACATTTTAACATAATGACACTTAAGGGAGACTGATAAATTATGGAATGAATTATTATAATTTCCTTTGTAGATCTTTGAATATCCCCCAGTCCCTCAGTAGTATCCTATCTCTGCTTCCAAATTTCATTCCCTTGGACTCTGTGTCCTGAATTCCTTCTGTAGTGATTTGGTGAAATCACTAAGACACTAAAAGGAAGTGGGAGTTGATATGGAACACTCTCCAGGATATGATGCTAAGTTAGAAATACTAAATGCTATCAATGTGCACATACTAAATGCTATTAATATGTACATAGTAAATGCTACCAATGTGCACATACTAAATGTTATTAATATGTATATACTAAATGCTAATAATATGTACATACTATAATGTGCACATACTAAATACTGTTAATATGTACATACTAAATGCTACCAATGTACACATACTAAATGCTATTAATATGTATATGCTAAATGCTACCAATGTGAGGATTTTACTGAATCTGTTACTTTGCTGAACCTATCGTTTCAGAATAAAACTTTATAGCCATACAGAGCCATTGGTTTATATTAACACTGCAGCAGCTGAGTGGGGATGTGGGCACTCATCTTAGCACTCAAGAGACAGAGGCAGGCAGATCTGTGAGTTCAAGACTGACCAGGGATACATACTGTGACACTGCCTCAAAGAAAAAAACAAACAAAAATATTATAGCAGAATGATAATATTCAGATTGTGTTCAAATGAATAGTGGTGTTCTGTAACATAATTTAATAAGTTTAGCAAGAGTCCAGAAACCTGATTCTCAGGTTTAGAACTCCTGACTTTTATGATCTTATCTTTCTACCTTGGATATGTTGGTTTAACCTTTTAGTTCACAGAAGCCTCTTGCCCTAAACATTCCAAAGCATGCTCTCTGCTCTCTCCTTCTCTCTCTTCCCTGTCTTTAAAGAGGGTACAAGCAATATAAATGGCTACAGAAAGGTTATTTCCTCTGTAGCCACTACTGCCAGCCAATAGGCATAGTCTAAGGTGTGATGCCTTTGGTCTAAGACCTGTAGCCAAGCCTCAAGGCTGTGCGGAGGTTGAGTAGTTCTTGCTGTGTTTGCCATGAGCTCAGTCTTTTAGTCTTCTGTGAAATCTCAGATTTGAGACTTTTTAAGATTTATGTATGCATATTCGTCTGAATTGGATGTCTGTGCACCATGTTCATGCACCAACCTCAGAGGCCAGAAGAAGGCCTCAGGTCCCCTGGAACTAGAGTTATGGAGAGTGGAAGCCACCTCGTGGGCACTGGGAATTGACCCCAGTCATCTGAAGAGTACCCAGTGCTCTTAACCCCAGCACCATCTCTCCAGCTCCCTAAAATCTCAGATTTTAATGCAAATTCTCCTTGAATTCCTGTCATGTTATAAATTGGCAGTTCGTCCTCAGTGGCTAAAACTACATTTGGTGGTAGAACTAAGACCATGGCTAAACAACTGCTTCTAGTGACCTCGAAGCGTCTGTTCAGGTTAACAGATACAATAATTGCTGTGTTAATTGGGCACACTTAACATATAGATTACCTGCTTTATAGACACGGAACTAATGAGTTCTTAAGCTTTATTGCATCGATACATTTTTATAAGATACTATTTATTAATGGCTACCTCAGCATATAAAACTAAGGTATGGGATTTGGGATGTAACTCACTTGGTAGGGTACTTGCCTAGCTTTCCTGCAGCTGTGGGTCTGACCCCTAGAGCTTTGAAAAGTACTGGCTGTGGTACCTAACACTGTAATGCTTGCATTTGGAGACAAGAGGATCCAAAGTTCAGTGTCTTCCTCACCTACAGAGCAAGTCTGAGTCCAACTGACAGCCTTGAGACCCTGTCTTAAAATAATGATAATAAAATACAATCAAAGCAGTAGAGACATTTTTCACTAAAACCTGTGTAATTGATATAGTATTTTGTGTGCTCTGGACTCAGGCATGTGAGCTGTCATAGTAACATGACAAACTTACAGATATATGTGGCCATGCTTGATTGTCGCTTTTACTCAGACATCTGTGCACTGCCCTCTGTGACTTCCAGGTACGCGGCCTGTGAAGGCTGTGCCTGATAATCTATCTAACGTGCTTCAGACCTGAGAATAACTGAGCTTCCACGATAATACAGTTTTATCTTTCCATGTTATCACTTCTTGTATTTTGCCTTATCAGGGCTGCTAACCACCAAACCTATGACACTTCAAGTCTGTTTTCTCTTTGTATTCAGGAAATTCCTCAGAAAGTGAATCCCTTTTTAAAAGTTAATATTTAAGAGCCCATAGGCTACTGTATGCAGCAATTCCATTATTAAGGCCTTTGGAATTCTTTTAGTGGCATTTTAAATTTTTGCTAGTTTTCAGTAACTAGGAAATTACTATTTTTTTAAAAAGGAACTCTAAACAAATTCTGTGAACTTTGCTTCAACTAGGGTGTGAATGATATCTTACAAGAAAGAAATTTTAAATTGAGCTTTATTATATTTATTTTTTTAAAAAAATCCAGCTACAGAGAAATGATCAGCTTCTCCCAAAAGTAAGATGAGAATCGGCGAACTTGAGCATAGCTTAACATAGCAACATTCTCTAACTTTCTCGTTTTAGGTGATGGAATACGAGAACAGGATCCGAGCCTACTCCACACCAGACAAAATCTTCCGATATTTTGCCACCTTGAAAGTAATCAACGAGCCTGGAGAAGCAGAAGTGTTTATGACGCCCCAGGACTTCGTGCGATCCATAACCCCAAATGAAAAGCAACCCGAACGTAAGGTGCTAGCGTGGGGGCAGGCTGGGGCCGCTTGTTTGTTACCACCGCTTTGATTCCTTCTCTGGGCATCCTAACATTTGTGGATCCACGCAGCAATTCAAATCACCGTTTGACTATTAGATGCTTGGAATTGTGCTCAGCTTCTACAGTCCAGTGTGGAAGTCTTGTTGAGGGGAACTAGCTGAGATAAACTCTGTGTGGAAAGAAACAGCAGCAAGGTAAATAGTTAGGGATGCTTTTAGGAAATACTGTGAGGAAATGATTGAGTAGACTCCTCCTGTCTCCCCACAAGACAAGCCTCAATACCGTTGTGATCCACAGTGTCGTCAGCACTCAGACAGGGGAGCGCCTCGTACACAGTGAGCCTGCTAGACGTGGTGCCAGCCCTGTGCGTTTCTGCCTGCTGCGCTCTACTTTCCGGCCCAGCAGTAGCCATGGGGCAGTAGCCTGATCTCGGTGTGGCTTACTGCTTGGGCAGGAGCAAAAGAGGTGGCCAGTGCAGACTTTATTCTCCAAATGCTTGCGCTGTACATTTTGACTTACTCAGCATCTTTCCATGCTCACTGGCTCCAGCATTTAAGGGACTAGAGCAGGAACTGCAGGAGGACGTGACAAAGCATGGAATTTTCTTACAAATACTTTGGGAAAGTCACTGAAGGTCTGATGACTGTAGTCTTTTAACAGCAGCTGAACCCCAGAGAAGAGAGAGTCTGATTTCTTTTTTCCACGGTATAGTAAAAATACCCAATTTGAACAAGAAGTTACACAGCCATTCTAACAAACCAGAGAATTTAATCCATTAACAGGAGCAAAAGAACTGGACAGTAACCATCCCTAGGTATGTCCAGGTAGGTCGCCTGCGGTGGACGGCATGCGGGCAATGCCTGTTCCCAAAAGAGCAGTTAAGACATTTCCTGATAACTGAAGCTTTGGTAGCTGGTTAAGTAGACCTTTCCTACACACTTTATATTGACGTGAAAGGACATGAGACAGCAAATCCACACAAAGAAGTAAAAAACCCCAGGCAGATCTATAAACCAATATAGGCTGAACACTCCGAATCTATGATCTGTAAGCCAAAATGCTCCAAAATCTGAAATGTGTGGAATGTCAGTGTGGCATTACAAGTGGCTAATTCCCTGAATGACTGCTTGTGGATTGCAGTCAGAACACCACTGTGCAAAACATGTCATCTAAAAATGTCAGTGAGCTGTGTGTATAGGATGCATATGAGACGGAAATGTGTTTGCTGCCCAACTCATACCTCCTCCTCCACTCTGTTGAGTGGCCAGTTCTGCTGCGTGAACTGTGGCTTCTCGGATAGGCTAAGAAGAGCACCCTGGCTGTCTAGCGTGGAGAGCAGCTGAGAGCATGCCTTCGTTTGGGGTTTCTTTTCCATCTGTTTCACCTCCATTCTTCCACATTGACCCCACGTCTTTTAGGAAGCTTGAACAAGGCACCTGTGGAAGAATGCAGGTCACTTGTGTTGCAGAATTTCTCTCCTGCATTTTACTGGTTATATATCTGTGATGTTTAATGTGTTTCTTGGTCCTCTGTGTTTCATCTATGTAGAAAACACACAAAGTTCTAGAAAAGGACACTATCCTAATAACTGTGAATGTTGACATCAGGATGGATTTTATTCTTCCTCAAATGTTCCTTTATGTTTAGTAGACTTCATATATATTCATTCAAGAAGTATTGAGTTGCTTTCTGCTCTCAAAGAATTTTTATTTTATTTAAAAAAATATTCTGCATATATGCTTTCAGGCCAGAAGAGGGCACCAGACCTCACTATAGATAGTGAGCCACCATGTGGTTGCTGGGAATTGAACTCAGAACCTCTGGAAGAACAGCCAGTGCTCTAACTGCTGAGCCATCTCTCCAGCCCAAATTTTATAAGATACACCAACCTTTTTATTAATTGCATTGCACTTTCAAAGTAGGTCCTTTTTAAATATATATTTAATGGAACTATACATATCAAAGGAGAACTTCAGAGAGTTAGTTCTCTCCTTCCACCGTGTGGGTCCTAGGTATCAAACTCTTGTGTGCAGGCTTAGTGACCAGTACTTTAACCACTGGGTGGTCCAGCCCAAGATTTAGATCCTTTCAAACTTGCTTCAGCACCTTGTTTTGTGTTGTGGGGGGGCGGGGCGGAGACAGTAGAGCAGGCTGTACTCACAAGAAAGATGCTTGGAGAGATTGTCCCAGTTTTCTATGATAGCATAGCATTGATGCCTGCAAGGCGATAACTGTCCAGATAGCAATCCCATTCCTGTCAGTAGCTTTGAAGAATGGACTCTGCTTTCCGTGTGACAATGAGAATGAACCAATACTTTGAGATGGGCCGCTGAAGACCATTTCCTCACTTAGGGAGTATTATCCTTATTCCTTTGAAAACAATTATATTTTCCACTTGTCTTCGTATAGTCTGGCATTTAACTTTGCAGCACATTGCTGTTTGTTTGTTTTTACGGTGGTGGGGACTGCATGCAGTGCAAGCACTCGCCGCTGTGCTGCATCCCTGCCTCCCTTTAATTACTGGAAAATACCCTACATATGCTGAATAGTGAGTGAGCGGGCCGTACACAAGCCCCCTTCTCATGTCCATGGGAAGCCAGAATAGCGAATAAGTGCTTTTCTTTGGAGAATCATGAGGGAAGTTTCTGATACGTCAAAATAAAATCTAGCATTTTCATTTGCTCATTTGCAAGAATTCATTAGCAAGAATGTAGATACAGCAAAATAAAATATGCTGTTTCTGTGTGGGGTGGAACGAAAAAGAGTAAGGTGGTAGATTTCTAGAGTTGAACTTTCCGTCTTCAGTCGGTTGGTCTCCAGCCAACCACTCCTAGTTCACCGTAGTTTTGTCATGGCTTCACACGTACTATATCCCAGGACACCCAGCAGACCTAAATCTCTGAGTTTCAGTGTAAGAACTTTTAAAACAATCACGAAGCACAGACTACTTCAAGCCTTCAAATTAGAGAATTCTGAAATGAGCTGGTGAGTTTCAGAGTGCGAAGGTGAATAAGAATACTTCTGTACTAAATATCAAAACTGTGTATAGAGAATATCCGTAGTTAAATGTGCAGAATATTTAAAGGGAAGAAACATCCTGTGCTGCTTGAACACCTCAACAGCCTCTGTGAAGTTAACGTGTCCTCTCCATCCCTGGATATAAGTACAACTACTCAGGGGCTGCTTCAGGCTGTGGGTGTGGAAATTCTCACTGTCGTAGTAAAAACCATTTCTCTCCAGGTGTGGTGACGCAGACCTTGAATCCGAGAACTCAGGAAGATCTCTGTGAGTTCAAGGTCAGCCAGGGCTACAAAGTGAGTTCTAGGACAGCTAGACCTACACAGAGAAACCCTATCCTGAAAAACCAAAATCCAAAACCAAACAGAAACATTTCTCATAGCCATTTGATGATGTGGGTAACCAGAAGCATGGGATAGGAGTAAAGGTCCATGGAAACAAAGGACTTTGGGGCAGAGCACAGCGTACCCTGTAGCACAGAGGGTCTCTGTTACCTTTCTAGTGTATCAGCCTGGTTCGCTTTTTATCCTGTGGTTTCCTCTACGCAGGAGAATAAAGGCATGAATGGAGAAGCAGGTCTCAGTGTATGTTCCAGGTATCCTGGAGTCCCCACCCCTCGAGGATAGCCCTGCACCATTTTAAGGATATTCTTGCCTGTAAAAAACACTTTTAGTGACACATAACTTTATACTTGATCAGGTATTTTAAATACATTTTGTAGTACTGTTTTCCTCCATATACTTATTGTGTTCGGTGTTTATTTATTTACTTGCAGGGTTCCACTCTGTCTGCTTTTATTTTCAATCCCCTGCCATATTGTTTCCTCTAGAATAGATCAACTGCAGCTGACTCCCTGATTCTTTATGCCCCATGAACAGAGAACAACTTATACATTTTCAAAAGTGGAGGAGGACCACAAGTCTATTTTATAGCAGTTGAGAATTTTGTGCAATTCAGATTTCAGTGTTCATAAGAAGCTTTATGGGCGTAGCACACTCTTTCCTGTATTGCAGTTTGGGAGCTGGGCGAGCAGGCTGGAGTAGCTGTAACAGACCATGCACCTCTGGGCTAGAAACCTGAAGACTAGAAATCTTACGTTCTTTCAAGACAGAAAGTGTGCTAGCCATCGGTATGGAACATGTGTAGGAGTTAAACGTGGGCTTTCTGCCTGTGTGTATCTTCACAAGATTAGTATGTCATGTCCAGAAATCTAAGCACTTTCTGAAGAGTGCTCACTTTTGGAGACACTTAGAGCCGTAATAGGCTGCTGTACAGGGAAGAGCCATTTTTTTTTTTTTTTTGTTAGTTTGCCGTAAGGACAGGGACTCACTCTGTAGCCTAGATTTGATTTAGAGCAAAGTTTGTTTTTAAAGACCAAATAGTAAATATTTAAGACTTGGCAGGTCAAAAGGCAAAGTAGTAAGTGCTACTCTTATCTCTGGGGCTCTAAGGAAAAAGAAAAACAAAAACAAAAACACAGTGAGTTGGCTAGATGTGACCCGAAGGCTGTCACTTGCCAAACTGCCCCTTCTGTGAACTTGTCAGGACTGAATGATGTAATGACGTGCAGTAAGAATTACTATTGTTGCGATTAGATTAACCTGCTGATATGAAGGACCTCAAAGCCTTTGGTGAGACTGAGTTAAGTAGAAAAGTGGTAGACATTGAAGTCAGTTTGGAAGGTCTGTTATGGTTATAGACGTAACTGATGAGTTTGTAATTACACAGGGAAGATGGCACCAACTGGTTGTCCAGTGACAGAAGGTCAGCCCTGAAAACAACAGACGAGTAACATTATACGGACCGAACAGATTATTTAGAAATGTGTATATACACACATATATATTCAGGAATATATATGTATATGCATCACATGCATATTTATGTAAAATAACAATTAGTGAAAAAATCAGCCATGAATTTGAAGGGGAATAAAGAGGGGTGTATGAGAAAGTTTGGAGGAAAGAAAGGAAGGGAGAAATGTGGTGTTAAATTATAATCTTAATTTTTTTAATTTTAAAAATATTGTTTAGATATCTGATAGCCTTTGTGGCCTAGATTTATTAAGCATCATCATTTTTTCCTTTGTGTGTATTTATGTGTGTATGTGCACATATGTGAGTATATTTGTGTGCACATATGTGCATGTGTGCATATAGAAACTAAAAGTCAATTTTGCTCCATCCACCTTATGTTTTAACCTGGAGCCTGAAGAGTTAGACTAGCCATCTCTACCTCCCAGCTCCAGGACTATAAGCCTGTGCCACCGTACCTTCCTTTAGCTTCATATTTCTCATGAACTTGGCATACCAATTCAAAAGTATCAGACCTACGCCCAAGGCTAACTAAATATGCATGAGATATGCTGAAATCTGAAACTCTGATTATAAAAAGATTAGCACTTAGGAAAGGCCAAGAAGTAAATGATTAAAGACTGTGAAGTCTCATAGAAGATAAACTAGATTATTATCCAAACTCTGACTAAAGGACAGACAAGCTGTAACATTTAAGATTATGCTAAAACCCCCAGCATTCCAGATGTTTTATAAAAATTTGAAATATTGAAATTTTATATTCTACAATAAAGGTATCTTGTGTGAACCCAGAAAATGGACTTTGTCTCATTGTGGAAGACCTCGAAGTTTGTCCACATTCGAATTTATTAAATGGCTACTTGTGACAATACATTTTAATAGTCTGGCCTTTGAGTACACTGAGATGGGTAAGATCGCATGTCTCAGCAGAGGTGGCATGGTCACTAACTGGCTGCTCTGTGTTCTTATGAACTGGGGATCTTCGTACTAGCATGGCTTGGCCTCTCAAAGTTAGTTGCCTAAGCAGGTGTCAGAAGAAAAGATTGGAACCGAAGAAGGCATAATGCCTTGGAAGAGGACATAGACCATCATGTGGGCCCACTGTTTGTGTCTTCTTTAAGAGCTTGTCATTAGATTAGGTTTAGAGTTACACACACACACACACACACACACACACACACACACTTTTTCCTGACTGCTTTGTGGATTAAGTATTTCTACTGTTTCTTAAGCATTTTTTGTGTGTGTCTTGACTATATTTCTTTGAGCATATTTAGTGATTGTCATGGGAATTGTACATGTTTCTCAGACTATACTGTGAGAATTTAAATTTGTGCTTCAGGTGGAATAGATAGCTTACTGCTATAAGACCACTTTATGCTGTGGTCTCATCTCTCTCCATATAGAAAGCTCCACCTCAAACTGTTCACGTGAAGAATTTAAGACAAGATGGTGATGTCCCTCCATCACAGGGATTTTTTTTTTTTTTTTTTTTTTTTTTTTGGATTT